CCTTCCCTCTAGTCTTACACTGCTAAATTAGGGACGGCTAGCGCAGATAGCCCTCATGTAGCTTTGCGCAAAATTCAAAACAAACAAACAATCATCAATGGAAGACAAGATGGCTTTCCCTATCTCTCCAGGACAGGCCCCAAATACTGGCTGACTGTTTAAAACTGTGCTACAGTGTACCATATATTTTTATGTCACTGAAACTCTTTGCCACACTGCCACTAAGATCATGTTCGTGTGAACTTTTGACATCTGCTTTCCACTGGTTGAATAATTACTCGAGGTGTACACAAACCGAAGAAAGACTGAATGTTCTAGCTTTAATACATAATCATTATGACACTACTATCAAATTGAAACTGTATGTAAGGTATTTATGGAAAAGCATCCCAGAAGAATGGAGCATGCTAACATGTTATTTCAGTAGTTGTATACATGTATGTATATGATAGCCAGTAATTGAGATTGCTAATATACTATTGTTGTACAGAATTGTTTAAATTAGTAATATGATTGAACATAATAACTACTCTGCGTGTATATAGTACAGTATTTTACTGTAATAAAACATACTTATTTAAGTCTAGCTTCCCACGCAGTGTTACAACAGAATGATGATTTGTTGACTTTTCATTGGATGTTTTTGGATTTTATGTGAACATCCATGTAATTTGTTTAAGCTATATTTCATGCAAAATTGCTTTCAGATTTAATCTCATAGTATTTATTTTTTACAAATTTTCTGGGGTTGGGGTGGGGGGGGCATTCCTCCATGCCCTCGTATCATTAGCATGCTGATTGTGCTTCGCACAATATATGTTGGCTTTTGATCTCACAAATAAGAACCTTCCCCACCCCCTTCAAACATTCTGTGTACGGACCTGATATGTAATAAATTATTATTTGAAGTCCTTAAATTCTTAGTTGCAATAAGTATGTATGTAATTGTTTGTGTACTACATAGATGATATGCTATATGGGTATTTAGTATCTGGCTTATGTTACCTCTATAAATGTATAACACATAGTCGTATAGGGCTAAATATACTCTAATTACAACCCTGCATTAAACTAAAAAAGAATAACTACAAAGTTACATAATAGGCTATCTGCGTTCTTTCCACCAGTAGGAATCGAGTTCCGGATTTTAGAGTTGTAAGTACGTAAACTTATTGCTAACCCACTGGAAGACAATATAGATATTCAGAAATTTACTTAATTCGAAAAAAAAAAGAATTTCAGAAAGTTCTTACTTTAAGCGTACATGAATAATTACAAACAAGAAATGCTGTAACATGTCTATTTTATGTTACACACGTAATACTAACATAATGTGAATTTATTTTCGACGCTCCTGCCCATGTAAAATTTACAAGGACTGCTAATTGCAATGAAAATTTTGGCACCCCTTGAAGCGGGAAAATATATTGCCCGCCCCAAGGGCCGGCCCTGATAATACGTATTTAATATTATACACTTAATTAGATCGCGCCCCACACCCACACTGCAGTGGCTCAGCAGTAAATTTAAAGGCTTATGACGCAAAAAATGGGGTTAGATTTCTGCGATGCGCACAGCACAGATAAACTATTATGTAAATTTGTGTTTTAACGACAAATAAAAACAAAACAATATACTTAGATTACTCTTCACAGTTACTGGTGGTTATTTTTAGGTTATGTGTGAATATTTATTTATCCATTAACATTTTTTAAAGTATTTCACGTTACAATATCTTGAAAGCTGTTATGCTGTTTTTTAACGTAAGTTATTTACCTTTATTTTTCTTATAATGTATTACTAGTTTGGTTTGTGACTAGTGTAGTGGAGTATATATTTTACTAAATCAACATTTCACTTTTATCATGAATGACTGTGTGTTATTAGTACACAAGCACAAAACCGATTTATTTTTTTCTTGGTCTCTTGAAACTCAGTTCTTCATAAGCTCAGTTTTTTTTTAGTCTTTTTTTCTTTCACTGACTGTGTGTAGTATCTCATTCCCACCGGAATATTCACGATAAAAGGTTTTGACTTATAACCGTGTGTTCGCCTATTCCTTCTGTATTTTCAGCAATTATTGGAATAACTGCATTTTTATGAAGATACCCTGCCTCCTAGCGGTGGGAGAATGACCTAATAATGAGTAAGTCATTCTCCAACACATGTCCTTGTTGTTTGTATGCAAAACTTGCCCTTACCACACCGCAAACGTTTGTGGGCACGTGATTACTTGGTGACCTTTCCAGCAAGGCGGGCGGTACCCGGGTGTGAAGGGCAGTGACTATGGTAGAAGTGAACTCAGAAAAAAAAAACAGCCTACAGGGGTCTCTTGTCAGTTATAGTAACAATGCAACGTGCAAATTCATCAAATCGTAGACAGAGTAATAGCTGAAAAACATAGTAAATCATGTTTATTGATGTTGTAACTGCAAAAATGTGTGTGTTATACATACACAACACACACACACACAATATATATATATATATATAAGGTTTACCTCTGGGCTTCAGCTAATACTGATGCTGTAAGATTGGCATTATTTCGTTAAGTCATTAAATTTTTACCGACTGCTTATTTCTAACCTGAGGCAACTATTAATCGTTCCGTGTCCTTAAATCAGTGTTCTAATATCGTATTTCTAGTAATTTATGAACGTCAATCTTATACCATATCAATTTAAAAGCACAGAGTCCAATAAAGAAAACATATATATAATTATTAGAAAGATTTGATATAAAAAAGGATCATGTAGAAACTAATACAAAACTATCACTTTGGTTGGTAGTGATAAGTCTGAGATATGGAACGTATAAATATCATATTAGTTATCTGTATTGTTCCTTTTTTCAACGAAGAAAAAAGCAATTTCAAACAACGAATTAAAAAAGTAGATATTGAGGAAATATCACACCTTAGTAGTGCAATACCCAAAGAAAAATCAGAAACCAAATACGTTCTGAGGTGTATACTTCATATTTCATTTGTATAATTCAGGAACAAAAAATAACGATCTCAAAAAGTGCCAGTTATATAAGAAACTGTTTTATGCATCATTATTATTGATATTTCACACATTATTTTGATGCATGTATTTTGGTGGTGTTAACATGTTCAATTGACATGTTAAGTCAACCTATATTTAGTTTCGATCTTACAGCTAAAACTGTAAGCTGAGAGATGTTTATTACACTTATATTTTCTTAATGTTGAACATGATATACATTAATTCTGAAGTTTATTCAGATTGCAGTGATATCAGATAGTGTTTTCTTGCAGCTATTCAAAAAGATTATATAAATTGTCATTGACTAAATGATTTAGTAAATTCCAGAAGTTTTAAGCTGTGTCCATATTTTCTTGGTTAACAGTATTGCCTTTAATGGATCAGTATAAAGAAACTTTGAGTAATAAATTTGTTTAGAAATACATACTATATCTTTGACTGATATGAAGTATGTCTTGACTAATTTCAAGTACAGTAAGTTGTATGATATTTATCTAATGACATTTAGCTGAATTGCTTATATTGAACTGAGGACTTGAATATTTAGTTTCAAGTAGAGAATACTGTTAGTTAAATACAGGTGAGAGAGACTAACAAATGTGAAAATCATTTAAATCTTGCCTTGTATATAATTATCTTAAACCGTTGGCAGTATTTCCATTGTTATAATCTAAACCTTGCTCTTAGGCCTTGATTTTGATGCAGAAATACAGCTATTAAACTACCATCATATTAACAAATCTTTTTTTTTTTTTTTTTTTTGCTTTTTAATTATGTATGTCAGGTTTATCTGATAAGTGTCTTGTTGCACTGTTAAACTAGAATTTCACTGGAAATAAACCTGAGTATTACTAGAGAAAAAACTGCTGGATCATATGAAAAGGATAATACAGAAATTAAGATATTTTTAATTAATGAAAAGACATTTGGGAAGAATTAAGATTAAAAGTAGATTAAAGATACCATTAATTAATGCTTAATGAGTTAAATTAATGTTTTTAGCATAAGTTCAATTGAATGAGTAGGTACTTGAACACCTTGTAAATAAATAGATGAGGAGGCTAAGCATGGTTAAGAATGTGAATACTTTAATACATGTTTTAACTCCTGAAAGAAGTAATAACTTAAGCAATCTTGTTGAATATCTTTCAAATCTATGGATAGTGATTTTATTTTTATCTATTGAGATTATAAGTTATTCTATACATTACATTTTTATCAAAAGTCATTTACATATGCCTTATAAGGTATGCTGAATAAACTTCTTTTGTTTGTTTAGTATATTCATAATGATCATGACTGTTTATAGTGTTCATGTTTATTGCACCCATGATGTTATTGATTTCTTATGGTGTTCAAGTTTTAGTATAAGATAGAAGGGACATGTCAAAGATAGCTTATAATGGTGTTATTGGTAATGTACTTATTTCACTGTCAATATACTTGTTTTAATCTATCTTTTATCTCTTTAATACTGTCATTGGACATTGCATTCATTTTTCTAAGTTTTTGATGCCTTGATGATGATAGTGCCAGACAATAAGATTGATAATTTAGTGTTCTTTTATACTTTAGCAAGAATAGTATAATGCTTAAAATCCTACTGTTTATACCTAGCCTTGATTTAATGCTAGATTTGTCAGAGTCAATATCATGTATTGTTTAATTTTTAAGAGCTTACCTATTAAAATTTTTTTCTTCAATGATTTGGAAATGGTTAAATGAGTTAGTAGCTATTTCGCCAACTGGGTTAATGTCATATTTATTACATACATATTTGTTTGAGTTCTCTCTCTCTTCTTTTTTTTTTTTTTACTTATATATAAACTGTATTGAAACCAAACAAGTTTTATTAGCTGTGGTTAAGTAAACTTATTGGATATTACAAATAATTATTTACATTCGTATGTTTTATTAGAGACAAGTTATTTCCATTTAAAAGGTATATAATATACAACAGTAATTTGCTTATTTTGACTTTTGTAATTTAAGGGACCAGTTATTCCTATTTGAGTGGGATATACAACAGTAATTTCCCTGCTCCGTCCACCTCTCCATTCAGAGTGCCACCTACAGGAATAATAATGAGACAGTTTTGGCCCCCTACACCACCACCAGACAGTAAGCAAGGTTTACTTTAGTTTATCTTTTTTTTTTCCTCAAAAATTGTTACAAAGATTTGAGAGTGAAGAAAATAGTGTTTAAATTAAGAATATTGTGTAAAAACAGTTGTAGTTTTAAGGGTTTAGTTTGTTTGTTTGTAATTAAGCACAAAGCTTAAGATAGTGGGCTATCTGTTCTCTGCTCACCATTGGTATGGAAACCCAGTTTCTAGCATTGTAACTCTGCAGACATACTTTAAGGGTTTAGAAATTCTTTCTGTCATTAGCAAAAGATATACGTATATGAATAAATGTACAAGATGCTTTGGAAGACATACAGAAGGCTCATTCTAAGAACAGTCATAAGGAAAAGTTATCTAAAATATTGAAAAATTCACAAGATTTTTATCAATGCATTCATGCATGGCCAGAACTTCTAACGTTTTAAAAATTCAAACAATACAAAGTGAAATGCATAGGTATGGGTGTTTGGACCTTTTCTTGAACACTTTTGAATTGGCCCCTCTTTTTATGTACATATATTTTGTTCTTAATTTCTGTAGGGCAGCCCTGGATAATGGAAGTATGACAGAAGAATTCTTTGAAAACAAAGTTGTATGATGTATTTTTAGGTACTAAGTTTCACTGAAAACATCCTATGTTTGATCACATAAATCCAACCATCTTTTCAGTAGTTGAAAAGCACAATTGTTTTTTGATGCATTTCTGAAAATCCAGTTACTTTGATTCAAATCTGAGCCATCATCATCTCCAAAATACAAACGTGGATGACAGAAAGAGTGTTTTTTTTTGAGAATGCAAAAATACCACCTTTTACATCATTGCCATTGAAAAGTTAAATCTTTTCCAGGAAAATGTATGTAAATAGGTTCTTTTATTTGTATTAGAAGGTGGTCATGATATTTTGAGCAACTTCCCCTTCTTTATAACTAATGGTGTAGCTTATGCGCTTTTCAATTATAAGATTCATTAAAGTTTCTGCAATCTAACTCTACTAGTAATTTATAACTTCATAAAAAAACAATAAATGTGGCATCTATCAGACAGGCAGTAGCACTGCCTATGTAGGGATGACTCTGATTGTTCATTGAAATGATAGTAATTTAAAAAAGTAATAATTCAAGTGTAAACTATGTAATCATTATACCTTGATGTTAGCTTTCTTACAGAAATTTTGGTGAAACAGGAATTACCAGCTAATAATAGGTAAACAATAAATGTTACAGATGGAATCTCATTGTATTTAGAACTTGGTTATAAATACAACCTTCCTATGTCTATTAAAACACTGCATTAAAAACAACAACAAGCAAACAAGTAAAGAAAAAACTTTTCAAAAAACTAAGTAAATGTAGGGATGGCTAATATCATTCCTTTAAAAACAATGCAAATAAGTAAAGAAAAATTGAACAGTGAACACTTCAGAATAATAGATGCAGCGAAAGATGAATTGATGCTAAGAAAAAAGGAAGCACTCCTAATTCGTAACATACAATCTAAGGTGAACAATCAACTAGTTACGTCAGTGCATCTCAAACTATGATCAATTCATTGTGCCTGAGATGGGCAAAAAGTGAAAACTTCATCCAACAAATAAGTGTCAATATCTACTGAAATGGAAAAAAAATATATTATATGATTCACAAACAAGATAGTAGGGATGGCACTTGCACCATCCCTACATAATATCACAGGCAAGATTTAACATATAGCACTATATTTAACTATTCAATCACAATTGAGTTTAATTTATCCAATTTTGTCTGTTAACATTCTACTACATTGTGTGCCAGTGCTATTATGTAGAGATGATGCAAAGCCATCCCTACTATCATGCTTTCATTGTTTTTAAAGGATTGATATTATCCATAATTCATTTTCATTGCAGAAGCTTAACTTATAATACATCAAACTTTGGGATACTGTATGTCTGTAAGACCAAACACCTGTTAATTAAACATAATACTCTGTTGTTGTGGCCAGCATAATCCCTTGTAATGAAAAATAATATGTCTTATAATTTAATGTGTTTTAATTATGAAATATGTGACAGACTAGTATTAAAGCTACAATACCTCCATTTTGAAACATTTAAAACAAATGCTTAGTTTATACATCATAAGTTAGGGAGTATACAAAGTTCAGTTACACCGTGAGCAACCTGGTAGTGCATATCATCATCCTTGCTGTTGGGTACACTGTGAGCAACCTGATGATTCAAGTCATCATTCTTGCTGTTGGGTACAGTGTGAGCAACCTGGTGGTTCAAGTCATCATTCTTGTTGTTAGGCACACTGTGAACAACTTGGTAGTGCAGATCATCATTCTTGCTGTTAGGCACACTGTGAGCAACCTGATAATGCAGATCATCATTCTTGCTGTTGGGCTCTGTTTCATTAAATTGAACTACAGATGAAAGCTCAATCCATTTTCTAGAATTACCATATTTTATGGCATATAAGATGCACCCATATTTTAGCAAAGAATATTTAGGAAAAAACATTGAGTGTATCAAAGCATTTGATGTTTACTCCAAATAACGTAAAACATGAAACCTGAATATAAAGAAAAACTTATTTTGATGAAAATATCATACATGCAACATATTAAATCAAATTTGCATAACAAGAAAAAAAACTTTTCAGTAAAACTGAGGTAAAGAGCAAAAAACACTGTTATTCTGTAAAAAAAAAGTTTATCTAAATATGCAGCAAAATCTTTATCACTACTGCTTATGGTTAGTGAATTTTCGCTATCTTCGAATAATGCATCATCTTCAGTTCCATCTAGGATATTACTGATGTCACACTTTTTGAAAGCTTTCATAATTATTTCTGTTTTTACAGCATCCCATAAATTTTTCACCCACTCAAATACCTGTGAAATGGTGAGCCTTTTCACTCTTCCTGTGGGTGTAAAGTCATGATCTGAGGCCTGCATCCATTTGGTCCACTCCTCATGCATTTTCTGTTTAAAAAGGTTTGTTTATGGATACATCTAAGGATGTAACTGGCATGTGAGCCCACAAGGAATAACAGCCAACTGAGATTAATTTTTATATTTTAATATACAGTTGTCTGGGGAAAAACTAGGTAGAATTTAGCTAATGGGGGAAAAACTGAGAGATGTATTTTCTTTAACTTCATATATTAGATGCAGGATGATTTTTAGAGACTTTTTTCAGGAAAAAAGTATGTCTGTTGCTGTAATACATGGTATGCTAATGTTGATGTAGAGACTAATTGTCACATTAACTGGTTATATACAGGGTTGGTCCAATGGACTGACTTGTATTTGTGAGTAAAATGTGCAAGTCTGTTTTACACAAAAAATCAGATGTGTTAGAAAAGTATTTGTACTTGAGATGTATATGTCAATTGATGTCAGTAGTATAATTCAAACTCTGACAAGCGAGAGTGCAAGTTGACGTAAGTGTGCAGAATAAAAATATTTTTGTCGATCTTACAGTTTGAACATTGTATTCACATAATCTCTAGAACCTTCAAATTGCATACCTATTTTTTTTTCTGTATTCCTTTACCCTGTATCTTATATCTATTCTCCCCTACCACAAAATATCACTAAATCAACAATGTAGAGTAAAATTAATAGTTGATAACTCTGACATCAAGAGCATAATACGGTGCTGAATGTACAAGGTTGTGGCATGTGCACTTTGACCCCCACCTTTACACATGGGGTTAATATTAACTCATTGTTTTATCCTGAATAAACTATGTAGTAATTTAAGGTACCTTTCCTGTATTGTGATTATCACTGTTTATATAAATAGAATTTTGATATACTTTTTTAAATTCATGAAAATGCTACAGTACAGTATCTAGCTCAAAAACTTATCATTTTAATAATTGATACTCTCTTTTTTTTAGTTGCATTTCAATTGTATTAAAAATGCTTTTATATAAGATACTTCTGTCTTAATGTGAGAATTTCTATGTTATTACTAATCTTGCTATTAATTTTGCTTGTGACTTAATATGTTCTCAGACATTTGTAAACATAATTTTAATTATCTCAGAGTTGAATTTTGCTTATTGTGCTACATATTATCTTCATGAGATGTTTAATTTTTTATTAAATAAAAACAATTTTAAGAACAAACTTATTTCTGGCAATGTTATTTTGGTATGAATTATCTAGTTTTTTACAAAATCATTTAAAATTTAAAAGCAAGCTTGAAATAATGACAAGAAGCTCATTAAAACAACTTTTGTAACTTAAATTACCAATCATAGAATTTCACACTAAGAAATTAAATTTCAAATAATATCATTAGAATTGTATACAAAGTATGATTTGTTCAGTTTATATATATATATCATGATTATTACAAAATTACAGATTATAGCAGATATGGAATAGGTAGTAGCCTCTATACGATGTTTCCAGCAATGGGGTCACTTGCTCCATCTACGGACCCAAACCCATACTCCAGTCAAGGATATATTTCTAGATTGGGACAGTCATCTTCACATTACCATTCTATTCTAGAAGCAGCACATAAAGGTGTCTTTTATTTTATTCTTTATTTCAGCCTATCATGGGGTAGGGTTGTATTTAATTTTTTTTTTTTACTAAATTATTGAAATGACATAAATTGTATAAGCATCTCCTTCTAAAGTATTCTGTGGATTTTTTACAAATTTTTATAGCAAGGTTATTATTTTAAATTAAGGAATTGTTTAATGTAAGTCATATGCAGCTGTTTTTTTAAACCTATTAACCATCTTGTGAAGTAAAAACTGGACCATTGATGAAATGCTTATAAAAATAAAAGGTTTCCACTGGAAAAGTAAATGGTGGAGTGAAAAATAGTTTTATTACGTTTTTGTAAAAAGTGGAAACTATTTGCACAATAATCTAGAATTTTTTTTCTTAAAGAAGGAACAATTAAACACTTTTAAAACATAATGATTCATACTTATTGTATCTTTCATAGAACCTACCTACTTGCCTCCAGGACTAGCTCTAGCATCTCCTCTTGCCATGAACAGTCATTTAGGGCACACAACACCAGTACCCTCCCTGACTCCAGCTCTTGACCGCCATCCAAGCTATAGTCACTTGGGGCTAGGGATGAAAGGGCTAGATGTTGGAAGGCGCACTCTCCTTGTGGAAGAGGAAGACTTTCGAAGAGTAGAACGTGGAGCAGATGACTTGGAAGGATTTTTGAAAAGAGAAGTATCAAATGTTAGTTGCCATCACAAGGTAGATCGGGCAAGGTTGGGCATGAATGTTATAGAATCTCAAATTCGAGCTGCTGGAAAACAAACAGATTCCTCCTCTAGTGTTGTGTCACAAGAGAAGGCATCAGAAAGTAGAAGTAAAAACCGTGAAGACAAACAGAAAGATAAAAAAATGCAACTTCATCTTACAGAGTGCTGTCTGACACACAATAACCCACTACTTTGTAGAGGAACTAAACACAGTAAATCTCGTGGGTTGACCACAAGTTATGAAGTTGAAAAAACTGCAAAAGAAAAAAAATGTTCCAGGTGCTCTTCTGATTTAACAAACAGCATTGGCAGTCCTCATTGTGTAACTAAAACAACTGCTAAAGTAAAAAGCACAGATTATCAGGAAGAACATCAGAAAACGGTTCTGGATTCCTCTTTAACTACAACAGTGGTCACACCTACTAGTACTGTGGAAACCACCTCAGTTACTACCACAAGAATTCACATGACACCATCATTAGTTAATTCAAATGTTTCCATTATTTCCAAAACACAAAAGTCTAACAATACGGGTAAGTTTTTATATATCTTGTAAAATGCTAGATTCTAATTTTATGCTATAAACATCGTTCTTTTCTAGAGGTTGTTATGTGTTCATGTATTATACAATTATTGTTACTACCAGCTGTTGTTGGGTATTAATATATTTTTACAATCATTGCTGTTATCGGGATTTATTACATTCTTTGTTGACTAGAGTGATAAAGATGTGATTTTTCAGGAAAATTAGTTTCCAGGAAATTTTCTAGAAGGTTAAAAATGTAATGGAAAAAATTTTTTGTAGTGTTTTCTTTTGAAACATAGATTTCTTATTGAATACTGAACAGCTAAGCACCCAAAAACATTGCTAATAATAAATAATGCCAATTTTAGATGCTTGTTTAGGACTGGTGAGTTATTTATTGAGGAACATTGTTTACATAAAATTAACAGGCAGAACTGTGATGATAGGGTTTATTATTTATTTTTACTGTTTTTTTATTGGAATTTTTAGTATTTCTGAACAACTATAACAAAAATTATTTAAACCACTAATAGTCACAATCCACCAGGCATTGAGTCATTACTTTGTCTCTTTCTAGTATTATTCTTAAATTGTTGTCCTCAGTTGATCCTTTATCATTATTAATTTATTTTTGTTCTTGATTTTTGCTGGTTCCAATTTTGCTAATGCTTGCAGGTCTAGATTTTGCCCTTCATTCTCAAGTCATGCCATTGCCATTGTCCAGGTCTTCATCTTAGAGAAGGTGAAGATTTTATTGTATAATCACAAGTTTAGATGAATAGTCCATTTTGAGGCAATGTCTGTTTTTTGCTTTTATGTTACTTAAAGCAGCTATCATATGTGGAAAGCTTAATACCTCCATATCAGCTTTGGATAACACCATGTTAAAGATGCAGTGATTTTACTTTATTTCCATAGAAAGTCTCTTTTCCATAATGATTTCTGTCCAACTCTGTATTCAGTTTGGAAATATTCTCTGTAATCTTCATGATCATATCCACTGACTGATCTGTATTTGTTCACTGTGTCCACTTGTACTGCTTCTTAGCTTAACTACATGTCCAAGGTCTTTATAAATGATCTTCATCAATTATCCATGGGTAAAGCTCAAAGCAATGCCCTTCCCATTTCTTTTGGAAAATATTTCAGTACTTGTGGGATGGATTTCTACATTTTAGTTATGGTTCTGAGTGTGCAAATGTCCTTAAAAAAGCAGGTTCAAGACATGAGCCAGAGAGCTATTATATGTAATGTCCATACAACCCTCACAGGATTTCCTTTTCATATATTTTTACATCACTTTCAGAAATGAGTTTTGTTTTCCACTTTCAGTTTTTGAGCCACAGCTTTTTAAGAAAATTTTATATATTAGGAATTTCAAAATTCAAGTTACACTTATAATTTAACTCTTATTTTATTTCAACAATTTTTAACTGAGAACTATTCTAGAATCAATATTTTGTAATTTTCTAACATTTGATCTAATTCATGAAGAAAAATGAAAAAAAAAAAGTTCAAATTTACATTTCTGTGCAGCTCCAAGGAATCCCACCTGTAAACAATTCACTTGTTGATTTAACCTTTTTATGTCCATTCCAAAGAATAGCTTTAAATTTTCTAAGAAACACTCACTGCTTAAGAATATGTTTTCCATTTCTTAGTTTCCAAGCATTTCTTTTGTCCTTTTCTGCTTAGATGTTAATTTTGTTAGTGAAAGTGTTTTGGGTAATATTATGTCTGTTTAATAGCTACAACAATTTTCTTTGATGAGAAACATAAAATAATCTCTTTTAATTAAGTACTGTAGGTGACAGCAAAATATTGTGATAAATCAAAGCCCTATATATATTGAATATTAAGTTTATATTTGTTGTATTCAAACAATGTACATAAATAAACTGGTTAACTGGCTACTCAATTTTTTCTAATTGCTATCATGATATGTTTTAAAGTGAAAAAATCATTACTATTATTACTAATAATAAACCATGTTTTCATTATTTGATTTACATAAAATCAATGGGGAATTACTGTATATTTTAAAAACATACAAAGTGGCAAATGAGTGGTAATCTCGATGTTACTGACTCAGCAAGTACGAAAGTTTTAAAAATTTGTGCCAAACATTTTAACAAAATAAAAAACATTTACAAAATGTGCAAATGATATTCACTGACAGGAACATTGTTTCATATTATTTGGATGGTCCCTGACCATAGTCTGGACCAGGGATGGCCAACTTATTTATGCTTATGGGCCAATTTCTTACCTAGTCTGTAGTTTGGAGGTGGAAACTGTATGACCAGGTAAATTATGCTTAGAATATTTACTTCCAAGAATATGCAAGTTCTATAGACTCTCAGTTAATTATATGGTTTTGAATAAATAGCCGAGTTAGAATTTGGTTTGTTTATCGTTTCATTTTGCTAGTTTGGCTAAAATAAAATATAATTAAAAAAAAAGAACAGGGGCCAAATAAAGTATCTTCACAGGCTGGATCTGGCCTGCTGGCCACCAGTTGGTTGTCTATGGTCTGGACTTTTTTTGGTCTCATGGAGTTTTTAGCATCACTGAAGACTAGCCATATACTGATCGGTGGGAAAGTTTGGTTTTGATTCAATGACCTTGAGAAGAATTGGTTCAGGAGCTGCAAATTCAAATCTGATGAAAGGCTCCAATTTCTGTTTTTCACTTTTTTGAAAATGCCACTTTTCTATTTAAGTGGTTTCAGTTGCGCATGTGCAAAATATGAGAAGTGGTCTAGAAATTTAAAGCAGTTTCATATTTCAATATCTTTTTAGTGATATCACTTTTACAGACTGGATCTGGTTGTTAGGCCAGTAGTAAATTCTAGAATTTCAGAACCCCTCAAGCTAAAAACAAAAGGGTTGGTCATGAAAGAAAACATTAAACAAAAAATGTAGTACATTACCCTTCTGGAAGACAGGTCACCTATTGAAAAATAACTTCCAAGTATTTCATAAAGTGGTCATAAACAATTCATACTTTCAACCTTATTTGCCAAAGACAAAACAACAAAAAATATATTGAACATAAAATCACAGAATAAACAGTTTTTAACTAAAGGATATTGAGAAGCTTGTTTTCTCTAGCCTATAGAGAACAAGCTGTTGCATAGAATGTTAAAAATTATGTATAATGATTACTTAAAGAATTAAACAGTTTGTAAATTATTACCCAGCAATTGATAGTGTCTTGTAATAATTACTGCACAATATGAAAAGAATGTTGCAGTTATTGTGACTATCTCATGTTGGTAGTACCGTGTTACTTATCTTTTTTCTAGAGGTTGTCAGGTTGATTGTTTTGAGTAACTACTCTCATAAACTAAAATTTATAAGGAAGAAAATTTTAATGCTATTCTTAAAATGAAGATGTTCAAAAGAGATGATTTTTTGATACAATAACTGCTCTTATCCAGAACTTGTGAAGATGTGGATTTTATAATATAGTCATCATCATTGTTTGGACTTGGATTGAATATGTTTTTTAAGGTTTTTGTTGTTATTTAGCTACACTATATACATTTCTGTAAAATTTTTCTTGGAAATGTTTTGTGTTATATAACTGAAACTTAAATATGAACCTCCTCTGACATTATTGCTATGTAAATATCCTTAAATTGTTTCTGTCTATAGATTTTCACATTAACTAAATTTTGCATCTTTATCCTGTTGTTCAATTTAAATCAGTTGGTAAAGTAAGCAAATAAATATATATGTTTAGAGTAAATGGACTTGTTAAGAAAGCATTATTATATATGATGTTGCATCAGAACAATAATTACTTTTTGGTTCGAGATATATGAAATATTGCCATATTATGAAGCAAATATGATGTTTCCAATGTTAGAGAATGAATGATTTAATAAGAAGTGTGGGAATATTAATCATAGGAGAGAAAATAACAATGAAACTATGGAATATTTGAAGTTTTCCTCATAAATTTATAAAATCTCAGATTTGAATTCAGAATAATATGCTTTGTACCTTCTTTGCCATTTTTCTTTTCTAGTGTCTGTTGATGATACAAAAATTTCAAACAAAACTTCACAGTGTAAAGAAAAGTGTAGAGATAGTAGCATTTCATGCAGTACTCAAAGTGACCTTGCACCACAGTCACAAAACCTAACTTGTTCGGATCATGATCATGACATATTGAAACTCACACAAAGTCAGGAAGCAGGGACCATAGATCTGTCTCTTCCTTTAACAGGTCAGTCTTGTGAACCAATTCGGAATGTTTCCTCACAAGTGAGTGAGGGTGAAAATGAACAGAGTTTGCTCTCTAGTCAAAACACCTCTATAAGCAAAGTTAGTGAATCCCTCATTTCCAAACAAAAATCATCAAACACTTTGTCCAGATCCTGTTCTCTCACCTTGTCTCACACAGTTGCTTCACAGCCATTGAAAGATGACAATTCAACATTGTGTGTAGTGTCGAGCAATAGCAAGAGACATTTGACCCACTCACCAAAGAGCCACACACCTTCTTCTACTCCAATGTTATTATCTGGTGTCCACATAAAACAAGAGAGAATAGAAGGAGAAGAACACTGTCCATTAAGTAAAACATGCAACTCTTCTCTTTCGTCCACATGGCAGGATCTCAGTTTGTCTAGAAATGATATGACTGAAGAGGATCAAGGTGTTATTAATCTCAGTATACCACGCAGAGTTCCTAAACAAGAACCTGTAGAATTTGCCTTACATTATAGGATGCAACCAGAATCTCCATCAAGGAAAAGTCTTTCATCAGAGAAAGTTCAATCAGACTTTGTTTCATCCAAAAATCTTGCAACATTAACAGGTTTAGCATTACATGGAACTACATCTGTGGCCAAATCAACACTTCAAACAAATGATGTAATGCATCCTACAGATCAGATTGCTGAGAAACCTAGATCTTCTGGGAAAGCTGTAAAAGCTACCACATCAGTTCAGTCTCAACTAGTTAGTAACCCAGATTGTGCATCTACCTTCTCTTTAGTAACAACATGTTTGACTGTCTCTCAGCCACCAGTTTTATCCAGTACTCTGTCAGGGCTACCCAGTCAAGATGGTGGTATTTCAGGCCAACAAACATTTCCTGCTTCCAAAAGGTCTGATTATCCTTTTGTTGCAACAAATGCTAATCCTCATCCAAGTACCACAACAAAGCCTAGTGCATCAGTGTCTGGATCTTTGACGTGGTCCTGCTCCTCTGGTAATAGTGTTTCTACCAATAATACGTGTCAACCAAGTTCTGTAGCCTTGACTTTTTCTTCTACAGGTGAGTTCCATTTCATTCATACATTCATTTTCTCTAAAGACAGTTGACAAAACATTATCATTAGTCTAATATTCATTTGAGAACTTTTTTTCTTTTCTATTAGGAGATTCTTATTGGAATAAGTAGTAATTTAACTGCTTACATCTTGTTTAAAAAACAAAAAGAAATATTATCGGAAAATCCTTTATTGATTTTATTATATATATATATATATGTATATATATATATATATATTCTTCCAGATGTTTATCATCTTAGTGTGTTAAGATAGATATTTTGTTTTTGACTTTATATACAGAAAGTATATATGTAATAGTTATTCACTGAATGATGCCTGTGGATTATGTCCATGTAATTTTATTCTTATTCTTAACTCATGAAATTTATCGCATATAATCTTGTATTATAAATTGGCCACCATGTGGTAACCATCTAAAAGGGATCAAATAATAATCATAACTAACAATAAACTTTCCAACATTTATCTTTTGATATACCCTTAATGTCTTTGGTCAAATGGTTAAGAATGCTAGGTAAAGGAGAGCTTTTAAGTTTTAAAGCCTTTGCTTAGTTATTTACACCAAGTTAACATAAACCAGCTTATTTGCATAAGACCTACAATAATATATTCGTTTATGTAATTCTTTGTGTATGAGAGATAGTATTAATAAATTTAAGTTTAACCAAATAACATATCTTCTGTAATGTCATATATAAATTGCTTTGCTTTTGTTCATTTCCTAGCAAACTCAAACATCCCTGTAGGAATAGCAGTAGCTCAAAAGAGACAAGGTGTTTCAACAAATTCAGCTGGTGAGTTGAAATATTTTAATATTTTTAATTATAATACTAAAAGATATTAGTTTCAAGAGACTTTTGAATAAGCTAAGAAAAGTTCTTTGATGCTATGTGAATAGTTGAAAGGGACTGAATAAAAGTATTGAAAACACCAAAACACTTAATAGTACCATGTAACAAGTTTTACATTTTAACTTAAAAATAAATTTTTCAAGTGATATGTAACACAGTGTTAATGGTTATTATAAACATCGTATTTAAGATAGTGTAATGGCAGTTGATAGCTGATAATTTGTCTTTCTTAATTTGAAAGCTTTTTCACATTTATTAATAAAATTGTTTTGTACTGCTATGCTTTCGTTAGTAATTTTATAACTATGTGGAAGTAGGCAAAAGGTGTTATTTGTGTTTGATACTTTGTATTTTAAAGGTCACAAATAATTGTTTTAGGTTTTTCTTCACAGATAAAGGTGGATCCCAATTTGGAATAAATACAGATCATTCAAGCAGATCATCTGCTATATCTTCTTTGCCTACTGGAAGTTCAGATAGTTCCATTCCTGAAAAAGAAGGGTATTTACAGTAAGTTCTTGTGTTATTAACTCTGAATTTTAAATGGTTATTAAAGTTGTTCCAGTTATTTTACTAATTCAAAGTATTCAATTCTTGAAACAAAAAGGGGGGATAAACTCTAAAAGAATACAATATTTGAATTTGAATTGTGGATTCAAAGTGGATGGTGTTATGAATTTGCAATCAGTTTTAGATGCAAAATATTAATTAAGAATACTTCCCCACAGGCTATTTTTATATAGGACTTTATAATTTATTTCTTTATCTTCTTTTGCAATTAAACTTTTAAAAGGAATATTTTGAAACTTTCTCATTTGTTGTATTCTAACTTCAAAAATTTGTGATAATTTTTTTTAATATTAATATTTAATGTTGGCAGATTCTAGTGGTAAATTGATGACCTCAGTAGGGGAAAATGAGCTTTTAATATTGATATGAATGGTTTTTAGGGAATCTTCAGGACTGAATATGCAGCAACATCCTGTAGAGCCAAACTTAAATGACAATTCTACCTGCATACTCAGCCAAGGTAGTATATTTGTTGTCTGTTTATTGATTTTTTTCTCAAATGATTCTTGGGGATGAAACAGCTTAACCTTTTTTTTTTAAATGAATATTTAAACTATACTTTCTGATGTGCCAGAAAATCCTGTAGCACCCATGGATATACTTAATATGTACCTAACACTTCAAAATAAAGAGTTCAAATAAACTGTAATGTGAAGTAATAATTTACAAATCTGTTTTGTTCTATGGTTGTAAACTAGTGTAGTTGCACTACTGTGATGAAAGTTGGTATACAGAATTATGATTTCATTTTAAAAAGGCTTCTGTAATTGTTTGTAAATTTTCATTATATAAACAAAATTGTTAAGAGTTTTGGCAATTTTCAGAATGATAAGTGGATGTTAACTGATTTAGTTTTGGCATGTTTAAGTTCTGACCTATAAAACTATTAATGTTTTGATTTATAGTCCTTTACTCACCACTAATAACCTACATAATTTAGATGTTGATAATATGTAATGTACCATCTCAGTTAATTATATGTTATTGTTCATCAGACTAACTGGTTATTTATTTATTTTTTAATTTCATTTTCTTCACCAAAATGTGAATTTAAGTGAACAAATTGCTTACATTCCACCATACTTTATTAATTTGCTTAAATATTCCAAGCAGTACTGATGAGCCATGAATTTGGTGAAACTAGTCTGTTGTAAAGAATAGATTAATGCTCTACATCATTATTTCGTCACTGAAATTCACATTTTAATAAACAAAAGAAATAAAAGACTATTATATTATTAATGTGTAGTTTTAAAATAATCATTGGTGTTCTTTTACAGATGTTAATCCTCCAGTTACCCAGTGGGAGTCAGATTCTGTTGTACGCACCCCAATAGCACAGCACTGGGTTACTCCTAGTCCTGTAGTAGGTCCCACAGTTTGGCTTAGTCAGAACACGTATAACCCTACTCCAGCTCCACCTCAAACAGCTCTACCATATTCCATAGACCCATCTCACATTCCCATATCACCTGGGGGATATCAAGTCTATAGAGATTCTTTAACTAATCAGATTTTTCTACTGCCTACAGCAACAAATATAGGTAAATTTCTTTATTTTTTATTTGTTATCTGTCTTTAGTTTGATAATATTTGCATATTTAGTACTCAGTACTTAATCTGGCACCACTTAGTAGCAGGATAGCACTAAACCTAATTATCCTAATTAAAATTCAAAAATTGTTAAAAACTATTGCTTACATTAATACATGTATGTTTTATTCCTTAGCTGTGTTCTAAAAGCTCATACTTTATGTTTTAATTCTTTTCTAATATTTAATATATATAATAACTATTCCAACATTTTTCATTGAGCTTGGGTAAATTTGGTGAAGGCAATACTTAATTTGTATACATATGGAAATCATGTAGCTTCCTTTGAAACTTATCTTCTAATAAAAATATGTTGGTAGAAATATTTTTCTTTGGTTTGAAAGTTATCATCTTTATGATTAAGTATGTATTATCATTTGTGATACCTGAATTGTAGTATTAATTTCTATATGGCTTTAGATAAATGCAAATCATCCTTGATGGGATGCAGTGTTGGTATTATTTATCTCATGTTACTTTTTTGTGGAAGAAATATTCCATTTAAAAAAAAAGTCTATTCTTTTAGTACTTGCAATACTTGTAATCATCTAAAGAAACCTTGGACCTGAAACACGTAAACATTCAAAACATTACAAATATCTGTTATACAATATTCAGTTTCATGATTCAGTACCTTCATTTATTGGATGATTCATTTTGTTACCATTTGGCTTGCTGTGCTGAAATGTGTTTGAATATACATTTACACAGCATAGTGCTATCAAGGAAAAGTGGATGTAATATTTCTGCAGGTTTCACACTTAATCACACAAAAATTCTAAATAAAAAATAAGACTTACAGTATCAAGTATTGCATGAATTTCTAAAATTTATAAAAGTGAAGAGTCTCAGTGCATAATACAAAAAAAACAAACACCAAATTGAACAAAAATTAGATAGTCCAAAATGGTTTCATCAGGTGAATATTATAATAAAAGAAATATGAGAAAAGAAACAAGTATAAAAGAAAAAGCTAGACTGTTAGGCTTTTGGCTTACAACTGTCTTCAGAAAAAAAATACATAATAAAAGAGGGGAGTGTCTTGATTAATGAAAAACAGTAGCATGATAGAACATATAGCAGGTGCAGGAAGAAAAGAAACATCAACTTTTGAAAATTAAAAAAATGAAACTTTGTTATAATTGCCCTTTTTAGTGGACTAGTATTGCAGTTGCATTTTGCTTATTGAATGGTTACAAAAAATTTTGTTGCTGCTAAATAGACTGCTGACAGATTTGGGTTTTGTGATTATTCTTGGTTAGATGCTGTTTATTCACATAGAATATTTAGTTTAATCTGTGTAAAAGGGCTTTGCCATTAGGAAATTGCAAGACATCACATAACTGGCATTAAAGGTCTGGTGGTACTTTTGTTATTTCAATGTAAAAATTGTTATTTTTAGTATTGCCTACTGTTGCATATACCTTTGTTTGTGTGTGCATAAAAAAAAAATGTTATCACCTTAGATATAAGTTGTGACAAAATGTGATTTTTGAAGGATCAGCAAACAACTATACTGTTTGTGACTCTAGGAAAAGACAATTTTAAAATGACCTTTTAATAATGTAGAAATTTCAGAAATGGATGTATATGGTGACAAAAGTTATCTTTTCAGAATTATTGAGATCTCAATGTTATGATTAATGGTCTTAGATATTTCATCTTAGAAAAGCTTATGTTAAAAATTTAGCCATTTCTTTTTTTTTTTTTTTTTGGTTTACTCATTTATTGTGATGCTCATTTGATGAGTTCATTTTTAATTAATTTTATATTTAACATGATTTTGTATTATTGATTTTTTCATTATTCTAAAATCTCCACTTGTTACCTGGTATTTCTTTGTTTTTGCAAGTGTTAAATTTTTAAAAAGTAAGCTGTTAACAATTAATGCTTAAATGTCACAGTTGCTTTGGTTATGCAGAAAAACTTTTAAATGAATAATTTGTATTTATTTATTTACTGTTTACCTCTGTTAATAAACTGTTGGTTTCAGAAATCGTGGACCGATCTGGAATTTGGACAGGCTACCCAGCTCCCCCTTGTAGCACACCAGTGCAACAAATGTTTACAACCCAACCTCATCAGCCACCATTTCAAGCTCAAGCCATACAAGAGGTAATGAGTGTGTGGTGAGCTTATCTTAAGATGCTGCTACTTGAACATTAATACTGTGATGAATTTAGAGGAAATATATGTATGTAAAAGTTGTATGTACTCAAGTTTTCATCATATTGAGACATTATTTTGTCATTAAACTTGCTTTTGTTCTCTGATATGCTTAATTTTACTGTAAGTCAAAAGTTGGAATTTAATGTATCATTATATTTAGACTTAGTTCATTCCATTCCTAATGGCATCTTTATTTAGCTCTGTTATGTTGTATTTTCACTAATTATTAAACAAAGTGGGCTGATGAAAGTTAATGTTAGTCAGAACTGTAGATTTTGTGTTCTGTGTGAGATATGCATTTATGTGATGTAATCCAAAGAAAAAAATTAATTTGCTTGGGCCAACTAGAAAACTGACAGCCACAAACTTAGTTACATAATAAAGGATGAAAAGATGGTTATTGTATAAAATACTACCTCGGGCTTTATCGTGTTAGTTTGATACTTGATACACTAGATTGAAAGATAAATTTAATATTTAGCAATTTATGAATCTCTGTAAACCTAAGTTGCTGTATTTCATTTAAAATTCAGTATAGTTTATTGATTGTAAATGATTGACATAAAATTAAAAAGAAGTGAAACCTTACCTCACATGTAAGGTAGGTTGGACATATGTTTTTTTATTGTCTAAGTAGTTTGTGCAATTTGGAATTGAATGATATTATATTAATCTATTTACCAAATGGTATAAACTGCTTTCTTTGTTTTATGTGATATAGGAAGACCAACTCAAACACCAAACAACAAAGAATAAAAATTCATCTCTGCCTAGTAACTGCATTACAACACTAGAAATTTCAGAAGATGAAGAGAGAAATGGGTCATCACAGGGTATCTGTGAAGAATATGAAGATGATAAAACTGAAGACAAAACTCACGGAATGCTTCACACAGCTCCATCATTGCCTCTTGGCTCTTCCTCAACCGTTTCTTACCCAGCATTCCCTCAAGCTACTGCCCCAGCAGCACTTTCTTATTTCTATGAAGCTTCCACAATTGTTCACCTGACTCAAACCCAGTCAACAACTGCTATTCAAACAGAGCCAGGTAAACGTTCACAGGGAACATCACCTATGAATCCTGTTACTCCATCACCACCACCTGTACTTTTGGGTTCTGAGCAAGGTGTTCAGACATCAGTTTCTGATGAAGGAGATGAGAGTGAGAATAATGATGAAGAAGGGGAGATAGAAGTTAGTCAAGTTACAACTGAAGGAGAACAACCTAGTCAGGCTATGAGTGTTACAACTGCAATTCAAGTAGATATGGACTCTCAGACAAATTCAGATTATACTGATGTAGAAGAACATGCTGTGGAAGTAACAGATTCTGCCAACCAAACTGATAACCTTTTGATGAGTGTGGGTAAGGAGTTTTGTACAAGTGGTGAAGAGGAGTCATGTGATGTCACTCATCCTCTTTCTCCTGCTGTAATAGAAAACCTTTCTGTTGCTAATAGTAATGATTCAGAAACTCAGTTGTTCCAGGAGCAGCCTTCTTTGAATGTTGAAGTAGTTGAAGAAGACTCTGCACCTGTACTTTCAGCAGCTAGCAAACCAGTCATGGACTTCATTGATCATCATGGGTTAAACTTGCTTGTGGATAGCATTGAAGAATTTGCTTCACGTGAACAAGAAGGAAAGACTATGGAAATGGACCAGCATCATTCAGACAACTCAGATGAACAGTCTAGTAAGAAAATAAGTGACTTAGATGATAGTGCTAAAGTCAATGACATTATGAATCCCTCTGAAGACTCCATGTTGTTGAAATCAAAGTCATTGTCAAACAGTATTGATTCTTCATGTACTGATGGTTTAGGACTGTTATGTGCCCTAGCTGAACAGCGATTCTTGGAAGAATCAATGAACATCCAAGGTCCAGAGGTTGGACTGAACCTCAGTTTGAAGCATGATATTAATCAAAACTATGAGGAATCTAACAGGCAAGATGACAACCCTAATTCTAAGAGTCCTTTACAAGTTTATGCTTTCAGTAGTAAGTCCTCGTCTCCATTTTACACATTGGAAAGTCCATTATTTGTTAGTAATGCTCCAAAAACAATGGATGTTGCAGAATTGGAGATGAAATTGCAGCTGGCAGAATTACAGAAAAAATACAAAGAAAAACAAAAGGAACTGGCCAAACTTCAGCCAAAAAAAGAAAAGGAGTAAGTAGTGATTATTTTTAAACTAATCAGATAGTTTAACTTTATGATATTTTTTCTTTGTATGTATCAAATCTGTACTATAAAGCAACTTGTTTCTGTGATGATAATTTTCCAACTTCATAACCTCTTATTATTATGAAATTTTCTGAGGTTTTATGTCTCCAGGACATCTATAAGCACACATTATATAACATAGTTAAATTTAGTTACATTACTATGAAGAAACTGGCCAGTAGGGACAAATTAAAATTTCCATATCATTTTATGCCATTTTTCTTGTTTAAGAAAGATACTACTGGTGTAGGAAAATATATATAGTCAGACGAAAGAAGTGGGCAAGTGATATGATGACCAAGCCTCTGGACTTTTGGAAGACTGTATTGTTCTCAGAC